GAAATTCGTTGCTTTCAATATGTAATGACGATCTGTACAATGTTTCAAACATTAAATAATTCTCATTTCTTTCTTTTAATTAGATAACGACTTTTTTCAACCATTACTCAGCATGAACAACTCCTAGCCTCTAAATCTCAATATGTTCCTAGGCAATCTTCCACCAACAATTTTATATATGGAGCGTATATTCATCAAGAAAATGTCCCAAGAGAGCTGACTAAGCAACCGATAATTTTTTTTCTAAATATTTTAGGCCTCCGAGCCAAATTGTTTGTAACGTGACGATGAACATCGACACAACAAATTACGAGGACAAGACAAGTGATATGACATCTTAATTATCCATACTCCAAGACTATCTCATTCCATGGCAAGGCAAAATACCTTGTATTTATACTTTCTGACTTGACCATTGAAGTGGTATGGTTATTGAGTTTTATTTTTCGAGATAAACTGATGAGACTTTGAAGTGAACAACATTCTTCAGTGACACAATTGTGTAATATTGATGAAATACCAGTAAAATATATTGAAGTAGAAAAACCTATTAAAGAACAAATTTCTCTTAAGAATATCAAATTCTGATTCTTGATTAGATTATTTGTTCCTCCAGTTGTCTGGCACCTCGCAAGTTAAATAACGACATGCAGACGCAACATTATCATATTTTACACAATATTTCATTCAAATCTAATCAAACAACATTAGCCATGCAAGAGAGAGAGAAAGAGAGAGAGTCAAGTATGATATTTTCAAATTCCCTGTATGTGTTGGGTGCAGAGGACCCAATCATGTAGTCAAACAAGGTGTTGGTGGGACTTGGAGAAGCATTTAGGTGTGAAAACAGTATATTACAAAGGTAATGTAAAAAGTTCTCATGCCAAAGATAAGTATCCTATTATAGCATGTTTGGTAGGGACATTGTCCACTACTATATACCAAACATGTACTTAATGTACAAAATTGACACAGGGATCCGGAATCTTTGAAAAGAACCTTACTGTCTAGGCACGGGTGGTGTTGATGGCTGATGACTCTGCCCATAGAATCCAATACCTGGAGGCCTATAGTACCCACCATTTGGAGGCGGCGGCGGCTGCTGCTGAGGTTGCTGGTTCTGCAACTGCTGCGGCTGCGCTTGCTGAGGAGGGCCAGGCCTGGCGAAGCCCATAGCAATATTTGAAGGCAAAGATGGAGGTAACAAGTTTCCAGCACCATACTGGTAGGGTGGCCCCACCATTGCCGATTGGACCAATTGACTTGCAGGAGAATTAGATGGAGGTGCAAGTGGTGGTGGAGGTGGAAGAGGTGGAAGGAATGGAGCTTGCATTCGGTTAGTTTGAGCTACAGATTGCATGCTGTTAGGTGGCATATTAGCCATTACTTGCTGTGTAGTAGAAAAATACGCAGAATTACCAGCATCGGAATTGTCCAAGTCAGAGAATGGAGTAGACTTCTCTAGCTTCTGCCTTTTCTCGGGAGGTAAAATAGGCAAATTCGGAAACCCGGCAGATTTCAAGCCACTGCTCATTGAAGCAGCCTCTTCAGCTACAAGGGATGAGAGAACAGAAGTTAACATCTGGGCAGAGGATGTTGAAGCAGCAAGTTTTGCAGCGACAGCAGCTACTGTTGCCTTCTTACTCTCCTCTTCACTGAGATTAGAGGTTGAAAATGATGTCAAAGGATGCGTAGGTGGTGGAGGCACTGGCGGATAGTTTGTCGACTGAGTAGCCGGGTATTTGAGCTCAACCATCCTCGGAGCGTTGGCTTCCACAAGTTGGTTTGCAGTAGCGGGTACCGAAAAACCAGGGACCAGCCGCTGCCTCATATTCGCTGCTTGCTCGATTAGACCCTGACCAACCTGCATTGCAAATAAATTGTCAACAGCAGAGAATCGTGGAACATAAGATAGTTCTTCAACAAGTTAAAGAAATTACTAACCAAGTAGAAACTTCACAACGAATGAAATATAAATAGAATATATCGGGAAAGATCATGAGGACCGTGACTGACTTCAACAATTAATGTTATTATGTTGTCCCATAAACAACGTAAAGTCAAGAGTACAAGGTATACTGAAGAGTTCTTTCAAAAACACAGATTTACAGAGTACATAAACTAAAGGGGACAGCATATCCAAATGCGATAAACCTCGGTCATTTTTGAAGAAGATAATGGATAACAGCTTACAAAACCCAGAGTGGAAACAAAACTTGGAAGAAGAAAAAACCTGAAGAGTAAAGTTTGACTTGCTTCGCCTCACTGGCTGTGTCTAAAAAACATAGTTTAAAGCATTGGTACTTTGTAGTACCATCCCAACTTTCTTGATCAGCAAAAAAACTCACTAACCATCTATTAACAAAAAAGGCTCAAGTATTCATATTCTAAAGAAGTAAAAATACCAGTATTTTATTGGAACAAGAAAACAGCACATTCTTATAGTTATAATACATTCTTTATAAGATATCAGTGTGACAAGAGTGAGTGAATCGGTTTGGTGTGAACTAAAAACATTAAATAAATATTTACACAAGATAAAGTGAGTGTAACCAGGTACATTTACAATCAAACATATATTACAAGGAGAAAGTTGGTAAAAGTATTGGTTGAACAATAAAGAATCCCGTTGGAATGCTATACAGCATAGTACAGACCCATAAATATCACATGCTTTGGAAGAAATGGTCTCCATTTACATTGCTCTACATGTTATGTGCCCAACTAATTTTTATCTCGTAGCATATTTATCCATTTACAGGCAAAAAATTCTTGGTAATTAGTTGTGCTCTTTGCCAGTAATTAAACTTTTTGCTTTTAAACAGAAGTGATTCTTCCAAATAATTAAAGGACATTTCCCTCGTGAAGTTGTGCATCCACAGTTTTCTGTCCTTGAATTTGGTAGGCACTTGCTTTAGAGACGCCAATTCAACTATTTGAGGCTAGTTCCCAGATATGTGCACAAGTTAGGCATCCTAGAACCTAACTTGAGATCTCTACTCTCAGGAACTAAAACAAGTAACAATTGCTAATTCAAGTTGGATTTTCTGAAAAAAGGCATGTGATAGGGTGCCCAAAGAAACCCTGTGCAGATGCTATGAAAAAGGAATATTTGTTAGACATATCAATATTATTGAGGTTAGTGGAGACATTGAGTATTCACATGTGAGAGATCTAGTGGGAGTGACAGTAAAGACTCTCTTTTCTATATGATTGCATCAAGGTGCCGCCAAGTCTTCATCTTTTTGCTCCAGACGTAGATGCAAGACAAGGTCCATGGTGTATGTTATGCGCTGATGACACAGTTTTAGTTTATAAGACCAATAGGTGGGGGATAAACCATAAGTTAGAACTGTGGAGTTCTTTAGAAATTAGAGGTTTTAGAATAAGTCAAAATAAGAAAATATTAGAATTTACTAGATAAATTGATCGCAGAGCAAGATTTCCAACATCTTGACCTGAAATTGCTAGAAATCTATTTGGAGTTCAACTCATTCGAGTTGAGTACTTTTAATTCAGGGAGAAATGATGGTAAACTAAAAGTCGTTCCCAGAAGAAACAAGATTTAAGAGTGATTTAGATTTGATTTCAGTTTTGAGTATCTGAGACTTTGTTACTTTTTAGTAGTTAGTTAATAGAAGTTCTTCAAGGGACCACGGTGAGAAAACCAAGAAATAAGACTAAAGGTGTTTAAAGTCTTTTCTTTATTAAAGTAAACCAAGATTTCAATTCACGTGAAACATTATGTTGACTCTCTCTCTCCCACACACACACACATTTATGCTTAATTATTAATAGAAAGAGAGACTCGAAGAATATGTAATATCATCGATTAGAACCGGGTGAACAAAATAGATAAATGTGATAAGGATGATTCTGTGTGATGGAAAGATACCAAGTTAAAACACAAACTCTAGACACGGTTATTAGACTACCTATACTTTGCAGACATGGGCCATTATCAGGCCAAATGTCTACCAAGACACAGCACTATAGCAGAAACAATGATGTTAAGATATATATATTTTTTGATAGGTGATTTTAAGATAAATGAATGATCATATGATAATGAATAAAAACAAGAAATGATCCTTTTAAAATGGCAGCGACATAACCATTTTTGTGATTTCTCTTTCTATCAAAGAATCCTGCAAATAGTTGATTCCCGGGTTACACTTTGGATCAAGTACACCAAACAGAAAATGGGCACTAATTGAATATAAATGAAGAGAAAGACAACTTGGACGGTCAGGATAAATCTTGAATAGGGGGATGGAGACAAAAATTAACAGAGTTAGATATAGTTGCAAAACATTCATCTCATTAAACCTTTTCAGTAGACGTAATGTTGGCTAGAATGTAGTGGTGAAGGAGTTTTTGTGTAGCCTACTTCCAAATTTATGAGATATAAAGCTTGGTTTTATTACTGTTGTTTGTTAGTCCTAGAGTTTCTCATAGCTTGTGTCAATTGTCCCAAGTAGTAGAAACCTTAATCCACGTAACTTTTCAATTGATTTGGTTTTGAGGGGGAATGCGATTACTTTCTTATGCTTGGTATGCACAGAAAATAGAAAGGAAAGAATGAAAGGGTAAATAGAAGGCCCAAGAAGAATTATGGAAGCGAAACTTTTTCATATAAGATAATTGTGCAATCAATATGAAGAAACACGAAAAAAGAGCTTGCGCACTTCCTTTACTCATCCCATTTTCCTCCTACATAAAAAATGGAGTTAAGTCCTTGCAACTATTTTCACTTAAGTTCAGCTACTAGTACCTCAGCTTTTGAGTATAAAGTTCCCCTACGGAGCCCTCAATGTACAGCTATTTCAATATTTTTGAGGAACATCGACAGAACACGTACTTCAAGCTAAACATTTATCAGTTTAGCCCCACCACACCAAAACAAAATACAAAATCTGTGAAAAGGACAGCTATTTGGTGCGTGAATGTTGTTGTGCATGGCACAGAAACTGGACGGAAACTGGACGGAAACTGCACAGAAACTGTACAGACGGGGAAAGAAGCCAAAAGATTTTCTATAGTTGGACAACATATTCAAACAGAACACGTACTTCAAGCTAAACATTTATCAGTTTAGCCCCACCACACCAAAACAAAATACAAAATCTGTGAAAAGGACAGCTATTTGGTGCGTGAATGTTGTTGTGCATGGCACAGAAACTGCACGGAAACTGGACGGAAACTGCACAGAAACTGTACAGACGGGGAAAGAAGCCAAAAGATTTTCTATAGTTGGACAACATATTCAACCATTCCAAAAGACAATTTAAACAGCAGGCATTTGCAATTTTCCGATAACATGTGCCAGAGAGAAAACAGAGATCCTTACATGTAGCTCACTCTGTATCAGCGCCAGCCTTGTTTCCTGAAAAGCCAGAGTTTATCAGACTTTGGAAGTGTTGAGTCATAATTGCAGACATGAGAATTACAAAAACAAAACCATACTTGATCTGCAAGTGCTTCTTTAAGCTGGGAAACCAGTGCAACTCTGATTGCTTCAGCATTTTCAAGTTGTCTAACACACTGTTGAAGTGCGTTCTCTTGTTCCTGTATCTTATCCACCAAATCAGAACCCTGCAGATTTCCTAAAAAAATGGATGAAGGTTAAAGATAAATATTAAAGGGCTAAAAGCATGTAAAATCATCCAACGATGTTTATCCAAATTGCAGATTGTTAAACAAGAAGAAGCTACCAGTATTTTAAATATACGCATGCATTTATTTTTTATTTTAAAAAAAGGAGATAACCCACATCAAAATTACTGTGATTAGAACAATTTTCCATCCATAATGTTGTGATTATACTTACAATTCTTAATGAGTTGCTATCTCTCTTCACAACCTTGATAGGATTTGAATTCTTAACATTGCTGACAGTGACAGGAGGCGTCTTGCCCAAGATCGCATTTTTAAGATTTTGGCCCCTCGATCCAAAAACTTTTCTTTCTTCCCATATATTAACCTAATGTAAAGAGCATTCCCAGTCACCAAAAACCAAAAAGCAAAATTCAAAGGACAGAAAACAAGAGATGGCAATCATCAGGAGATAAGAACAAATCATACAAGATTCAATTATAGGAATAGGAATAGGAATGAAATATCCATAGAACTCAGTGTAAAACTTTGCCCCTAACAACCAAATCTCACATTTTGTGTAGTACTGGAAGCTCTTATACCAAAGGAAGAATAATTAGAGTGTTAAAAGTTTATAATAATCTGTCATAAGAGAATTTCTACATATACTCTGAACTGATTGGAGATAGATAATTAAACTAGAACCACCATCACATCGAAACGACAAAAGAACAATATCTGCAATGTTCTTAAGTAGTATTTCAACCGGTTCTACATGAACTGGTACATACTGTGAAGATGTATTAGTTATGGAAATACATACATCATAAGGAAATAATAGTAAGATACAACCTATAATCGATGCAAAGACCACAAAAGGCTTCATTAATCTAGTAGGATTATTCTTTAGAATATCCAATCCACAAGAATCCAAACTGAATCCAGACTCTTATGACTTTTAACATATAAGATTAATCTTATCTCTAACAGCTAGAATTAAATTTTCGGGAAAAGAACACACTTCTTGCATCAACATGGCAAAATTTATAATTTTGATAACTTGCATTATCTCACCTGAACTTCCACAAAAAGAGTAGACCTTAGTTAACACAATCTTAAACCTGGCAGAATTGAAGTCTAAAAACATGTCTATCAAATTTGAAAGAGAATTGGGCAAAAAGTATCACATTCATTGGAATGGTATATATAAAGGAGACAATGTTATAGTGTGATTATCTGGTCATCCAACCACACGTTCCAATAAAAAAATTATCTCTGACATTAAATGACTAGAACCAATCCCGGAAACAAGATTTTTTTTCCCTTTTTTGGTCTGGTTGGGGAGATTGGGAGGTAGATTCAAAATCCGCTTTCAAATTTTAGAAATAACGCATTCCATATCATAATTTCAAAACTATACATGAAACTTAAACAAATAAGAGTCGATGAAATATAGGAGTCAACAAATTTGTTTCTTTTTCAGTTTCCAATTAATTATGTATAAAATGGTTGTCATATTGCCTCAGGCTGTGAGTTGTGATGATACTTACCAGTCTGGAAGCAACCTTCCTGCAGTTTTCATGGCCAAGATCATAAACACTCTTCAGAGCTGCTGGAAGGATCTTCCAGAATTCATTTACAAATTCACTGCCCTTGCGCCTGCTATTTTGCAGGATGTCATTTGCTAAATATAAAAAAGAAATTTGTTGCTCTCGTTGTGCAGAATTAAATAGTTTCTCCCACGTTTCGACAACTTGCTTGGCCTTTTTGCGGTTAGATATGCACCACCGAGATAGAGCTGAAAAGATGTTAAAAGAAAACTGCACTACAATGTGGAAACAAATAAACAAAAGCACCAAGTTCAGACAACAATTCCATGAATGATAAATTTGTTCTCAGCTCTACGTTCTTGATAAATTTATTATCAGCTATACATTCTTGCTTGTCTTTTTGACAATGACCGTTCCATCATCAGGCCAATATTAATTGTACTCAAAGAAGCAGAGTTATTGAGGAACATACTATTGTTTTATACGTCCCCACCCTTTCCCTACCAGAAAAATAAGGGAAAAAAGAGAAGAATACACAATGCACAAGTCATGCACAAGTCAAAAACCAACTTAGTAACGAGAGAGACACAAAGGTGTGGCGCAGCTGATGAAATGTCACATATAATGTTTTAGGGGTAATTTGTACCCACATCTAAACTTGTGTAAATGGGAACAAACGTTAGGAATAGCTGACCACATCATCAAATGGGACCGAAATAGACTAAGTGGCCATATAAAGGAAAAGGAGTGAAGAATATGCAATGCACAAGTCAGGCACCAAGTCAAAAAACCACCTCAGTCTAACCATAATGAGATATAGAGAGAGAGATGGAGATGCGCCGCAGTTGATGAAATGTCATATAATGTATTAGTTAATTCTGGCTTCCTATATACCCACCTGCGAACGTGTGTAAATGAGAATAGACGTCATGAATAAAGGGCCATGTCATAAAATGGGACAAAAGAAGACTAGGTGACCAAATAAAAAAAAAGAGAGAGAAGAATATTTAATGCACGTCAGGCACAAGTTAAAAAATAATTTAGTCTAACCATAATGAGATATAGAGAGAGAGATGGAGATGCGCCACAGTTGATGAAATGTCATATAATGTATTAGTTAATTCTGGCTTCCTATATACCCACCTGCGAACGTGTGTAAATGAGAATAGACGTCATGAATAAAGGGCCATGTCATAAAATGGGACAAAAGAAGACTAGGTGACCAAATAAAAAAAAAGAGAGAGAAGAATATATAATGCACGTCAGGCACAAGTTAAAAAATAATTTAGTCTAATCATAACGAGAGAAAGAGAGATGGAGATGCGGCATAGCTGATGAAATGTCATATATAATGTTTTAGGGTTAATTCCAGCCTCCAATGTACCCACCTCTGAACTACTGTAAATGGAAATAAACGTTAAGAATAGAGAGCCAATCATGAAATGGGACGGAATTAGACTAGGTGACCAAATTGGAAACCAGATAAAGTGTTATGAGTCAGTCATCATATTCATTACATCCAATAACTTGATCGTTTAGGCAAATTCATGATGAAGAATAGAGACAGAAGTTTGGTCTTATAATTGGATCCACATGTGACAGAGATCAACTGTAGTACCAATTCAATAGCATATGATCAGCAAAGCCCCAAAGAAAAATAAAAATAAATAACAAACACCAAACACCAAATAAAAGAAGGAAAAAAAATTAAAAAAGATCGAGTATAGAAACAAAGCAAAATTTCCTCCCTTGTGTTCCTGTAATGTTTCTATTCTTGACTTCTGTATTTTAACATTAGCAGTATCAACAGTAAGTCACATTATTGAGTTTATCAAGTTTGCAAATATAAATATATTTTCCTTTTTCTCTTCTGGATAGAGGAGGAAGATCATACAAAAATTCATAATTTCGTTGTCATGATAGTTTCCGTCTTCTCAAGCAAATAGCGCCGCAGAAGGTAACTTAACAGGCACATTAAAAAAAAAACTTAGAAAGAGAACATGTAAACAGCTAAACTAGAGGGAAACATTGATCAGGATTCACTATTATATTAGGTACTAATATGATATTTACAACCACCAAATACAGAGAGTGTTTCGGAATGAAGCAACCGCACGTAAGTGAACATGGGAATATTTTGCTACATGCATTGATAGGATTGGGCAAGTCATGCACCATGATCATACTTTGTAACATTGCACAAAAAAATGGAAATCATGTATGCTGCCCAAGTATTATCACATAATAGAACTAACACATAAAGTTATTACCTATTATGTTTTATGACACTAGGATATCAGGGGGAAAAACTCACAGATGGTTATTATTCTCCTGTGGAAAGGTTACACTATGCTTTGCCAGAACTGTTGACCATTTAGTAATAATAAAACTAGTATGTTTATCACTACAATTCTGAAAGCAGAGCATTAGTAACTGCCATTACTCTCCTATAGAAAGGATACACTCTATGCTTTGCTGAGAACTATTGAGTTTAGAGAGTTTCTCGGTCAGTAACTTTTCATCAAATGCATCATCACCCATTCTGCTATGTATGTCTAGATTTGCCTGTATCCAAAAATAAATAAATAAATAAAACCCAGAAAACAGATAAAAATAGAAGGGTATCAAGGAGGGCGGAGGGTTGAAGGTAGTATATTAATATTATTTCTTTCTTTTAATTAGTAAAAATGTAATCCACACGATATCAAAAGTGGAAAAATGAGTGAAAGGAATTCACATGATCAAATATTTCACGGGACTGCAATCATCTGTGAAATTCACCTGGAATCCACATTGACCAACAAACACTTGTACGCAAGATACTAACCCTAAGCACATTTCAACAGAGGTACACTGATGCCACTTGTATCCTGTAACAGATCTAAAATACTAGTGCTTCCTTTTGATGGATGTTTGTTCCTTTCATAAACCCATTCCTTACATTATCCCATAGTTGTTTGAGGTTAATATCATAGCAGGTCATTGAACTCAGGGAAATTTCATCAAAGCTGGCCAAACTTTGTTTTTTCCCAAAACTGTCACCAAATTTCTATTGGTTTCAGAGTTACTTACCATCATCAGTCCCAATAGTCAAATTAACAGGAAATTCTTGTTCAATTATAATGGTTGGCTACATAACACAGCCCAAATAATTTTACTTAAAAATTCAGATTGTTTTCCAGCGTGATAACAGCAATGTTTTAAAAACCGACCCAATCATCGACCCGGAAACGAAGAAGGGTCAAGGGTCCAGAGATCGAACCGGGGTCGAACCGGGATCGAACCGGTGACTTATATATATATATATATATAAGTGCTACTCAATCCAATTATAAAATATAAATAACTTAATAACATAAAGTAAACAATAAAGAATTAGGGCTCTGTTCATTGGCTTTTTAGTTTTAAACTTTTGGTTCAAAACCCGTAAAACCGCTGCCGGGTCACGGGCTGTTAATAAACCAGCCGGTTCAACGGTTTTTTTGAAGGGTTTTTAGTTTGAGGGTCTAGGATACTACCGGACCGGATTTGGGCCCGGTTCCCGATTTTTCAGGTTGAACCGTCCGGTCCGGTTTTTAAAACATTCGTTAAAAGCATGCAGAACAGTTATTCAGCAAACTTTACATTGGTTTCAAATATACGATGCCTTGACTTTTAAACTTAGTATTATTCTTTGTATTTATGTTAAATAAAAAATTTATTATTTAAATTTTCAAACCGACGATGACCCACCGGTTGAACCCTTCAACCAGATACTTAGACTGTGTCGGTCCTGAAAATTATGGTTCGAGTTCCACAAATAAAACCCTTTTTTTTTTTTCAGATTATTCATCTGGAAAAATATTTTAATAAGCAAAGTGATTAAAACATCAAAAAGAGTGAGATGTTGGCAACAACGCATGTACTATAACAAGCTTATACGTCTAATGCTCTATAGAGTAATAGTCACATAAATGAATTCAAAATATTTTAAATTTTTTATGAAAAAGAACCAAAAGAAATCTTGGAGTATGTTGTAAAAGAAGGCTATTGGGTGGACAGAGATGGAGAGGGGAGAGATAAACATAGCGGTGGGCACTGTCTAGTTTGGTTGGAGTTGCACTGTATATTTCTTAATGAACCAGACACTTAATGGTAAAGGGTGAGAATTGATAGGCAGCACGCTGCACAAATGAGATGAGAGAGAAGGTAAGAACGTTAGGGTTTTTGAATTTAATTCTGAAGGTGTGGGTTTTAAAATATAAATCAGGCATGGCTGGTGGCATTGAACCAGCTTATCAAAAAAATAAAAATAAAATAAAAATCAATCCTTACTGTTCGAAACCATGGTTTGTAGAAGAAACCAAGAATCGGAGCTATCGACCACTTCTCGGGTAAAAAGTGACCAAAAATGAAGCTTTCTTTAAAAAATTGGTTCAATTTTCGGGATCAGATTCATTGGTTCTAAGTGATTTTTCCCCATCCCTAGATAAATATTGGTGCCTCTATAGATTGTGGATTATAAATCCATTGATAATGAAGGGGGGGGGGGGGGGGGGGGGGGGGGGGGGGGGGGGGGGGGGGGGGGGGGGGGGGGGGGGGGGGGGGGGGGGGGGGGGGGGGGGGGGGGGGGGGGTCTGGCTCTGCCCTCGCTCCAAAATGAAGCAACTGCAGGATTGATGAAATACAAAAACGAAAGGCAACAGTGGCCAAAGACTCAGCAGTGTAACACAAAGAAAAGATTCAAAAGAACGAACAGGAAGAGAATAGCAAAAGAGAGACTGAAGATGAAAAACAATATGTGGATATGTGATTCTCAAGAGTAGAGGTGAAAGCCAGGTGGTTCAGTCTGAGTCTCTTGAGACTGTACTGAGCCAATTCCCATTGGGAATTGTGGAAAGGAACCAGATCAGACCAAAATCGGTTGGTTCTGGTCTGGTGTAATTACATTTAATTTCAGGACCTCAAATTTTTTGAAAATTGGTCTCTTCTAGCACATGCTGAGCTTCATTTTTTCTTTGGCTGTATGTATTAAAAACCAGAATGGACACAACAATGAATGCTAACATTAATTCATCTCTCCATGTTAGCAATTGAATATTGATATGAAATAATGAAATAATCATTATTGGATTTTTTATTTAAAATTTCCTATATCAACATAACCTTCTCTTTGATAAGGAAATTGGTAAAACAAGACGAAAATTGGCCGTCAAGAAATCGATAATATGCACTCATGCAGCAATGACTAGTTTATATGCATACAACTAATGATTTATTAACTACAACAAAAAATTAGTAGCAACCACTAATTGGCACTCAAACAGCAATGAAAATTGACTACTTTAAAGCAAAAGCGGTAAATAATTATCAGTTAAGAGAAAATAAAGCAGTAATTTAGAACCTTGTTCATGAAATTAAAAACTAAATCTGGTAAATCTCAAGCAGCACCCAGCAACATTCAACTCCAACAGGACCAACTGATCACTAGTAAAAGCAGAAACTGATTAATTGTCGAGAGAATACCGTGTCCGAATTTGGAGAAAAAGAAAAATCTGCCTGAAACTAAAAAGGAAAAATTCTTGTACAAAATTCTTTTAGCAATTGGGGTTTGCACTAGGCTACTAATCTGTAGATTGTTTGTGAGATTGCATTCGATTAGATTTGGAATTAGGGCTTCCGCTTTGAGAGAAGAATGAAGGCGGCGGGGCTAGAGTTTTTGTGAACAAGAGAGAGAGAGAGAGAGAGGTTCAGATTAGTTGTTTAGGGTAAAGTCTGAAAAGACAAGAAAACCGAAAAGCAAACTGGCAGAACCGAAATACATTTTCGGTTATCTATTAAGCACCGAGAACCAGACCGAACTATCAGGTTCAGTGCAGAGTACCAAAAACCAAATGATTTTGCCACAGAACCAGTGCCGAACCAGCCGGTTCAGGCGGTTGCAATCCAGTTTCCGTAATTCACTCCCCTACTCAAATGTGAAGATTAAGGGTTGCATTCAATGAAGGTTAATTGTGGTAACTAAATTAGCCACATTTTTTTGGGAAGAATTTTAAAAAAAAAAAAAAAAAAAAAAAAAAAAAAAAAAAAAAAAAAAAAAAAAAAAAAAAAAAAAAAAAACCTTCCAAAAATACAAAATTCAATTTCGGTTCTTCACTTAAAACAAAGAAACGGACCAAAAGAGTTCGGTTCTCGGTTTAAAAACCCAGTCCCATTGTTATTCTACACGTGGTTCGAGTGAAAACTTCCCACGCTAAAAACAAGCATTTTCCTAATTCGATGGTCTAATTGAATTTGGATTTGCGAAAAAAAGGTGGTAGAAATAGCAAATCTGCAAGGACTAGATTGTTTCTTCAAGCATTAGTCAATCAAATATTTCAAAACAGGGTACCCAACTATGCAGATCTACGTAGACTAGATTAGAGATTTGGACCTTACCAACCAACCAGAGATTTCAAAACAGTATCCAAAGAGCAGATATGTGCAGTCAAGATTGAAGATTCAGGCACTGCTGATGCATAAGTAGGCATTTGCCATTGCCGGTCAAGAAATTAAGTTATTAAAAATTTAAAAGAACAAAGAAAACTATAACCTTAATGAAGTATTTTGCAGAAAATAAGAAAACATTAAGTAAAAAAATAAATTTTCTGGCACTTCAATGCCACTTTTCGCAATGCCCGTGAAATCTTTAACAAAGAGGACTGACAACAAAAAAGGATTTTTGTTACAACCTGAGTAGCAGAATGCCAAAAAGGGGAATGATATCTTTTTCAGATTTTCCATGCAACTTCTGGATAACAATATGGATTTCCGGCTGAAATGGTCTGCTGAAGGGAATATTAACCAAAGAGAGGAAAAGGAGGAAGCTAAATAGATTGGGGAATAGGGATCAAAAAGAGCTGGCGCATGACACGTGCAAAGATCGTGCTGTCAAGTATCATATGATGTCTAAAACAATTAGGTATCTTACAATTAATCTTGCTAAAAACCAATTCAGAGTCTGTACATTTACTGCTTCCCGATACAATCGAATACTTTAAACACCCAGTTAAATTCCTTCAGTAATTGCTTGGAGAGAATTTAAAACCTGTAAAAAAGCAAAATTCATCAAAACTCCCACTTTAAATTTTACTCACGCATGCAAGGAATTAACTAAATTAAGAAATATTTTACATACAGAGTCCCAAAAAGTGGTTACAGTTTTCAAGATAACAAATTCAGTTCCAACTACATAGCGTGAAGGGGACTCCTCGTGCTGAACCACTTCCCACAATAAGTAAAATTTCAGATGATCTATAAGTCATAAAACAAAACAGGTATCGAAAATACACCTTGCCAAGTTTTTCTTCTTTGCATGTGCTGGTTCAAGTAAATTTCAATTGCATGATAAAAATAATTATTTAGATCTTGCAAAATGAAGAGTTAGTAGCGTCCAACTTCACAGCTGAACAAGACAAAGCTTGAGGCCATAACATAAAAATATTAGTCTTTATTATTTAAAAGCGTTCAGCAAGACTAACCTTTCTAATGCAAAGGCATATTTACAGTAAACCAGGATGTCATCGTCATAATACTGGAGCAATCTTTTCCAGAGCATCTTTTTCTATTTTTCTCAATGTCAAATTCAATAAAGAGCCAAGTCTTAGTTTAATTAACTCGAGCTCAACCACAAATTATTTTTTGGCCTTATGTTAGCACTCTTGGTTCTTGAATCAACTATTTTTACTGCTCAAATATGTTACAGAGTATGGAAAATAGTGATTCAACAAATCCCAATAACTACTTACTAATCGGAAATCATCCAAACAGTTTCCTCCACTGTGCAACCCACGTGCAGAGCTTGTGCATTGGTAGATTTGGTCACTCGTCCTCATTATTGGGATAGTAGTATCATAGCATTTAGTTACCTAACCTATGAGTATTTCTCTCTTATTGAGAATGATGATGATCCATTCATCCACGTGATTTAGAAGGTTATGATGTTTATACCAGAAGACATCGTCATCGTATTAGCGCTTCGTTCCTACATGGTGATATTGCATTTGCAGTTAATTTCAAATGCTAATATCTTCAACTAGCTCTTATAACTCAGATGCACGTCTCTTGCACAATAATTATAATTAATATCACATCCATTGTGATGGCAAGTATTAAAACCAACATGATTATCATTGATACTAATTACAGGATAGAGACTGAAGCACACACAACAATACCCGACACATAATCAGATCCCAAAACATGATACACCAACCACTCTTTCCCTAAAAGGATTCGTTCTTTTCTTTTCTTAACATTATTGATATTCATTAAATAATTAAATAGATACATACTTCCATTACATTAATACATATGGCTAAATAATCACTTATTTTTCAACTATTCAAATAAATCCCGCTGTATATAAACTAGTGAGTAATAAAAAAAAAAAAAAGAAGAAGAGGAATTGATACATAACTATTCCTCAAAAGACGTTGAAGTTTTAGTGTAAAAAATATCAAAAAAAAAAAAAACAACAGTTGAATGAAAAATACAACTTCACTCACATCATTTAATATGCATACATTCTTCTCGTATTTATGAATAAATTATGCATGTATATCCTCATACATAGAATTTTTACCTCAAGTTCACCCTTTTATCACATAGTCAGGAAAAGTGCAGCAAAGAAAAATTATAACAACCAATTCCAGCAACGGCAGTAAACAACAAATGAAAAACAAATAATTCACCCACAACAAAACCCATTTAAGGAAAAAAATTAACTGGAACCTTACCTTCCACTTGAAAAACTCCCAAAAAGATTTATTTTCAAGACAATCCTGGAAACAAATTAACAATATGAACAAAAAATATATATAAAAATTTACGCAAAATAACAGGTGAATCTGTATTTATACCTAAAATATGTGTGTATAAAGTTGGGAACATGAGTTGAGAGAGAAGCAATATACTTTCAGTTTTGGGGGATTTTTGAGAAGGGGGATTGAAATAGAACCCTCGAAAGATGAGAGCCCGTGTTTTGTCGGGAGAGAGAGGAAGAAGTGTGAACCTATGCTGTGAAATATAGAACCGGAGAAAAATAGAAAAATAGAAATGAAATTATGCCGTTCTTTGATTTTCATTAAATTACATTACATTACATTCTACTTTTTCTCTCTCCTATTTTCAACCACACAATCTTCTATAAAATAGTATTACACGTAAATCGAAATTTTTTCTTTCTTTTTCAACCACTCATTTTTCAAAAAATACTATTCTATACATTAAATTTTCCCCGTAATGGGGGCCAAACAGGGGCTATAATGGTAATGTAAATTACACATCAACCGTCCAAATAGTCCAATGCAAATTTAGGATGAATTTGATTAAACCATGTTTGGTATTGATTAAAATTCTAAATCAAAATTAATAATTAATTTTGATTACATATTTTATGAAATTCACAACTTTTTAACTATACATTTCATCAATTTTTATCAAAATTGACTAAAAATATAATTTTAATTCGTGTCAAACAGGAACTAAATAATATGAGAAGGCGGGATTTTAATTATTTAATTTTTAATATGAGATTTGTTTAAAAGATCCAGTCAATAATAATTATTGATTAAAAAGCCTTCCCTCAATAGTTTGATTTTTTTAGAAGGCCTATATTACAGGAATCATGCTTGATGAATATCATGGTGTATATCATCATTTTTACTTTTTCATGTGACAATACACCATTAAACAGTTTAAAATTTGGACATAATTGTACTAAAGATGGCTACATTTCTGTGCATTATCCATTTGGTTATTGAAATCAGATGCCTTAGTCATATCAAGCTTTCAAAAGGGATCGTTGTAACATTTTGATGGTCAATCTACTTTGGCTACAGCCTATAATGTAAAATCTTGACATATTGGATTGAGCCATATAGCTAGGTGAGGCAATTGATTATTTGACAAGATTGTCACAATAAAATTTGTAAGATCAGATCAAAATTTAGTTGATCCACATTAACTAAAGGCCATGTAAGGGAGGTGGTATATAAAACATCCACGACGATGAGATTAAAGCCAGTAAATAATGATCATAAATAAAGGAAACTCCCTCGATACTTAAAGCACCAAGTTGACTTCAATGAGTAAAGTACTTTTGTTTGTAACCACTTGTTATGTAGTGTTTAGTACTTACGATCTTTTAGGCGTATAAGAACAAGATTATCAAGTTTCCTTTTTCGAAATTTGTGCAATGAAATTGGAGCATGATTAATCTTTTCTATTTTTTTCCTGCACGCATGCATTTTTACTATGATGACATTCGATTTCACCAAGTTCACGCTCATTTTCTCTTGAAAATTTGAGTCTCATCACACGACTATGTGATTAAGTCTTCACCAGTCCACTCCACGTGTACATCTCTTAGTTAGATGAATATAATCATCCTCCTAAACATCATCTTATGGCCAATTTTGCTTGCTTGTCACATGTCTCATCATCCCTTGAGTAGCCAGATGTCTTAATGCCATCACTACTAGCTGCATAATTCCATCGAAAAAGTGAGTGATACGCATAATATAACCATCTTTGAATTCATAGTCTACTGAAGTACATGTACAAGTACAAACAATATCTTAATTACTAAAGATAATTTACCTGTTTTCCGTCTTGTGGAGTGGAAAGGTGCAACCATTGCACAGGGTTTTCACGAGGTACATGAAGAAACATTTATGTTCATTTGTATTTGCATGATGTTGATAAATTTTTTGAAAAAGGACAATAGAATTTAATTCTTGGAAAATGTCCTGTATTATAGTACACATTTTATTAAATAAGTCATGGATATCGAATGAAAACATCAGTTTATTGACATATCTTGTGTAATTCGTTGGACAAGTGATGCAGCCGTTGCAGAAAGAGTACACCAACGTTAGGGAGAGTGTGCACCAAGGTTGCTTTTAAGGACGCGAGTAAGTTTCATTTGTTGTACATTCGTTATATATATATATATATATTCGATTATCACAATTTATTTTTAAGTTTTTGTCCAATAGTGTGAATATCTTGATTGATCCGCACAACATTTGCACGGGTCGCAAGTGGCGCTTAAGTATACGATTAAGGTTGATCTAAGAATGGAAAAATGCATTTCTTGGCTTGACTCCTATTTATTACTTTAAAAAAAAAAAAAATTCTTTGTACGTATTCAAAAAAATATGAATAAATAAACAAGTAAATCAAGTGAAAAATCGAATAGTTTAATCCTTGCCCACCTCACAAAATTCCCAAGCAAGAGACGGGGATGGAGATGATAGAGGGTTTGAGTTTGTTTTGAATATACCTTGATATCATAGAACTTTAATATTATTTATTTTCTTAACATTGAAGATTTTTTTTTCCTTTTTTGTGTTTATAATTTTTTAATTACGTTGTTTGTGTATATATACATACCGAGATGTTGGCCAGCTACAGGTTTTAGTTTTAGACTTAATCTCCTTGCACGGGGAGATTGTACAAGAAGCATTATGGAGAGACAGGTGGCAACACTGCATAGGCAAGGCTGTACCTGTGTTTCGCGGGGTCGGAGGTGAATTTTAGAATTTGGACTCCTAACTCATAGCAAGCAATCAATTTTTTTTTCATTTATAAGAGTTTTATGAAACTATATTTGTTAAGTTGAAATTAACAATAAAACAACGAATAAGATAAAATATATAATATTCAAAATATTTATATTACAATCAAATAACATGCAAAATATTTTAAACGATTATTTAAATACAACTTATCTTGTGGATTTAGAGGTAAAAGTACCATAGTCGAATTATTCAACCATAAGGCAAATTCATAAGAATGATAACACAAGTTAATACATAATAATTAATTAATCAACGGGTAGTACTAAATTCATGAATCCCTCATTAGTCATAAACTAAAGGATGTTGAATCCATATACACCATCATCAAATTTTCTAGAAAATCACTCAAAGAAAGCCACAACAAAATTTCCTAACTCGTTGGCTGAAAATTATACAAGTTTTGTGGAGATGTTAGCAGATTTTACATTGAAAAGTCGACCTAATTTTCCATCAATATCAAAGAAAAAGAGCAACCAAAATGTGTGCAATATGGTGAGAAAAGCAAGTGAAAATTTTGACACGGGAAAGGGGTGTAGGGTGCACTCAAATTGACTGTAATATTGATGCATATCCTCACTTTTGTTATACCATGGAATGAGTATTCCTAATCCAAAACTTGCAGTACCCCCAAAATTGCAACACTCACATTCAACACTAAAACAAAGACCAAATAACCGAGCAATGCAAATCCAATGAAGCAAAGCAAATAATGTTGGGAATCTACTTATACATGCACAGCGGAATTTAAAATAATTTTCGATTCCCACCAAGAATCGCCTTTGTGTTTAGATAGAAATTGTGATAAGATTGTACCTTTTTCAGATCTACAATCTTTTTGCTTTTCTTTTCGTTCCATCAACCTTAATTTACCACCACAGCTGTTCAATTGTCCAGCATCCAATGGTGATCCACACAGAGAATATGATTGCAGCCTCTATGGTTTTCTCTTGTGCCAGCAAGAATAATGAAACCTATATGGACCTCAAACCCTAGTTATGTATTTATATAAACCCAAACAGGCACGGCCCGGTCCGGTCCAATAATTAATTAATCCAATTAATTAAACCCGGTCCGTAAATTAATTAATCCAATTAATTAATTCAAAATATAAATAACAAATTCAATTAATTAATTTATCCAACGATTGTTACATTAACTAATTGGCAATTTGCAATCTTCCAATTCTCTTTTGTGTATGACCCATTAGGTTCCCGACCACGATGCCTAACGACGTGAAATATTATTTTGATCTAATCAAAATTGATAAATTAAAACACCCTTTTAATTTATCGTCAATTCACATTCGCCGTTCCTGATTGACATCTAATAATGTGTCAGGGCAATACATGTGACGGGAAATGTCACGTGGTATGACAAAACCAAATTCGTTTGTTTACCATGAAACTATACTCCCTTCGTCAATATGATCCGATCAATTACGAGATATGGAGTTGTGTCAATCTCGATCATCGATCATATCTTTCACTCCACTATTAAGTCAATATAAATCGAAAAACTCATTTTTCGACTTATGAGTACACCTTGGTCAAGGATTTCATCATTGACTTAATTGAATGAAACGCAGATCATAATCTCCTACTATCTAAGAGTGACGAATCCTTTATTGATCAATCACAACCTTCATACGATTCTTGACGTACCCGAACAATGTCGTATTAGCGGCCTTTTTCAGAGCAACATCCAATACCGCCAAAGTATGACTGTCCTCATATAAGATACCATGACGACCTCAAGTCAAAGGACCAATTTCACTACCGAACGTTAGAGATTAACCACTGACACTCAAATAGTTATCCATGTGGAATCTCTCGACGGGTCTCCAATGTTTTGTTCTATAATAAAATATCCACGTGTTCACTTAAGTGTCACCACACTTTAGCTTGTGAGATCAGCTACTTACTTCACAAGTAAGAAATGTCACACGTGATGGTCTATCCGTAATAACGATACCGTATCTCGTTATTACTTACGACCACGGATGATTTAAGATTCAATCATATGTAATTTGTATCTCACAATCACAACTCATTGTGATTAACAAATTACAAATATTTGAATCTACGGACTCTATTATTTATTTAATTGTCTATTAATTAAATAATAGATCTGCCATTTAATTGCATTAATTACATATAAAAGTATTTATGTCCAAAGTTGATTGGACCTAGGACATAATACTTACAAATAATCCCGCAACAAACCTATTATTGAAAATGCTTGTATGAACAACAAAACAATATATAATTTCCCAAACTCTCAACCTTCGGTGGCTCTCTGTTTCTTACATGATCATAAATATAGAGTTTTCCAAATGCACAAAAATAAAAATAGAAAATAAAAGAAAGAATGCAAGCACACAATACAAAAATTAATAGAAATCCATGAAAAAGCTTTATTTCAAAAAAATTGATTAATCTAAAAAT